GGAGGTAGGTAGGTAGGCAGGGCAGGCAGGCAGGCTGGCAGGCAGGCAGGCAGGCAGGGAGGGAGGGAGGGAGGTAGGTAGGTAGATAGGTAGGTAGGTAGGTAGGCAGGCAGGCAGGTAGGTAGGTAGGTAGGTAGGTATATATATATATATATAGATAGATGTGTATATATATATACACTCACACACCTACATATAGACATTACAGTTAGTGTGGTTTGCCGACTATGGTAGCCGAAGAAAGGGTTCCTTAACAAGAGCCCAGCATCGTCAGAGAAGCGGATGGAACTACGCCGGGTACTCTCGCCGATGGCCTCCGCAGTTGAATTCTTAGCTTCTGGTCTTCGAGCTTCGTATTAGTTATCCATTTCAATTGGGTAGTTCTCTAAAATAGGGTGCCTTTTTAGGTCCCCAATATAGTACGGCGCCCTTATCATAATGACCCTAAGTTACCTATAGGCCCCATAGTAGTTCCCTTCTTGTGGCATATGTTTAGGATCCTATAATTAGGTAATCCCCAAAAGGAACTACTAGGTTTCTATGGGGCCTATGGCCTATGGGTAGTTACCCATTTCATATGCAAAAAAGGGAGCTGTTTCATTCTGAAACGGGTACAAGCTCAGCTGCTACGGCTTTACAGGCACGTGGGTTCTCTCTGGAATTCAAGGCATGACAAGACGGGGTGCAGCGTTTTGGCTCGGAAGGACGTCGTGCAAGAGTAAACCTTACAAAGCAAAGACGTCGCGTCCTGGGAAGCCGTTCTGCAAGCTTCAAGCAGGTCTTGAGATACGGACCAGGAACCCCTAAACGGTTGAGTTGAGTGAAATACATTCCTAAACCTGAGCTTTTAAACCCTGAAGCGGATGTCAACACAACGTTGTTTCTCAAAGGCTCACCGTCCCAAATTACTAGAACACAAACCGAAGAGAGTCACCCCAAGCACTAAAAAAACAACATCATAAACTCAACCCAACTGCGGGAAAAGCGATGTGCATACAAACAAGAAACTTCTGAATACAGTCAACCAGTATATATATATACAAATGCATGCTGATCGATATACATATATATATATATATATGTATATATACTCATATTCATATGTGTATATATATATACACTCACATATACTTACACATGCATACAGACATACAGGTCTAGAACTGTAATTACATATGTATATATATATATATATGCACGCATATGTGTGTATGTATTTACGTATGCATGCATGCATGTAAGCATGTATGTATGCATGTTGTGTGAGCATGTACGTAGGTAGGTAGGTATGTACAGATGAGTGTGTGTTGTTTGACAATCAGTAATAAACAACATAAGCAGAGGCCGACATTGCAGCCTTGACTGAGGCTTAAACCGTGCTTGAAAGCTCTCGAGAGCCCTCAGCGTCTGCTTCAATCACGTAAAGACAACTTTAAGCACTGGAATTTGGGCTACTCACCCCTTGAGTTCACACCCAGGGAACCATTAACAAGATCATGTACAAAGTCCTTCGACCTCTGTGGGGTCCGAGGGCATCCGCCGTGGGATTCGGATGGCCGGCACCGGCGCATTGGTGGTGGTCGATGGCTTTGACTTCAAGATGGGCTTCCTTGGACGGTCAACCGTCCTAGGGGTTCAGGGGCCTTGACTTAGAATGGGGTTTTGTCGCCCATTATACTCTATTTATAATAAGGAACCCCCAAAACCCTATTCTAATCATTAAGTTCAGGATCTGCTACCTTTGGGCTTTAAGTTGTGCTGTTGCATGAACGGGCTCATTCGGCTCGGCTCTCGGCATGAAAGTGTATGCATGTGTGCATACATTAAACTCGTGCATGTATAAACATGTGTGTATATATATATATATAGAAATACGTACACGTATATGTACCTGAATGAAAAATATGTGTTCAAACATATACACATATGTATATACAAGTGAAAAATTGTATATATGTGCAAATGTATATACGTATAAATTTGTAGTAGATGTATACATTCAAGCTGTTCGACATTCAACGAGATTCGCCAAAGTAGGCTTCTGCAGTTTCCCGCGCCGCTGGCCTTGACAAAAGTAGTTTCTTAAGAGTCCGAGGCTCACATTCATCAAGCTGTACGAGCTTTCACGAGGATCCCTAAACCCTTTTTACACCTGGACTATGCATATGCCAGGAACCGAGACGCCGACTGTGCTGTGGACTCGTGCCACACGGCTACCCCAGATTGCAAAAACTGATCAACTGGACCCTAAACCCCAAACGAAAAAGGGTTTTTTGGGTAACTTTCAGCTTAAGAGTTGCTGCACTTCTGCTTCGTAGCCGTAAGGCTCTATACGAGGTTTTGCAGATTGACTGGGTGCCAAAAAACCACCGAAGCAGCTTCCCGTTCTTTGGACGACCACTTACAATTGAGTTGCCTTTTCCAGCTCTGAATTTCGAGGCCCAGAAATTTCCGGAGTTAAGGGGTCTCTTGGATTTGGGGCTGAACTGCCCAGGTTCTACAGGGCTTTTGGGGGGTTAAAGTGTCTTCTTGGGCCTTCCCCGCGCAAGCATCCCAGTGCGTATCCCTAAGGCTCCATGTACCCATATAGTAGATACTTAGGCCTTGAAGTACCTATAGAGGGACCCCTTTAAGGCCTAAGCATCTACTATAAAAGTACATGGAGCCTTTGGGTATGTAACATACTGTCATCGGAATCCCCGTTTTGAGGTAACGAAACGCAGGCATCAATTGTATACTAAAGACCCGCAGAGGGAGAACCACAAACCCCTAAACCCTAAACCTACTGTAATGTGGGTACTTCGACCCTGGGGCACATCCTAGCCCGACACCTCTACGTTCAACTCCTACAGCTGGTGACTGGGCGTAGGTGCGAGGTTTGGTGTTTGGTGTTTATTTGGGGGTTTCCGGAAATAGGGGACCCTAATATAGCACTCTAAATAGTAGGATCCTTATTATAAGGACCCCAAAATAAGGTACCCCTTATTTTCGGAAACTCCCATTTAGGGAGAAGAGGGGGAGCCCAGAGAGAGAGAGGAAGACAGGGGTAGGGTCTTGAGTTTACGGGTGGAAGGCAATAAAAAAACGGGGAGGGGCATGTTAACAAATACAAGTCAAAGGAAATGGCAACAGAGAAGTGGTGTTTTTGCTTAGTCTTACTTCCAAGGCCCTAGATTGGAACTGTAAGGAACACAAGGCCATTCTAACATACTTGTTGCAGGTTTTAGAGGTACCTTTTCTTTGTCCCTCGACTGCTGAACCTGCCCGCATTAGACGCCCCGGCTCTCGAATCTGAAGGGACCGAGTTTTTACGGCCTGAAGTAGGGAGCTGAAGGGATCTCTGCGTAGTAAAGAGTCGTTGAAAAGTCAGAAGAAGGTTCCATGTCATTCAGGCTCCCGTTTCAATAAACCCTACACTCTATACCAACTACTAAGGGATAACTCATGGCATCCTGCTAGCATGGCATCGGGTCATACGGTCAGAATATGCCGTCCTTCCTTTATTTGGGGACTCCAAACTACTTAGAAGTTGTTTTTTTAGTGCTTGGGGTGACTCTCTTCGGTTTGTGTTCTAGTAATTTGGGACGGTGAGCCTTTGAGAAACAACGTTGTGTTGACATCCGCTTCAGGGTTTAAAAGCTTAGGTTTAGGAATGTATTTCACTCAACTCAACCGTTTAGGGGTTCCTGGTCCGTATCTCAAAACCTGCTTGAAGCTTGCAGAACGGCTTCCATTAGCATCTGCTCCCGCCGTAAATCACGGCGAGCTTCAACAGGGCCTCTAGCCTCCCCTGCTTTGAACCCAGTAAGTGACCTACGGTGCTTCAACAGGGAATAACACCCAATGCCCAACAAGGACGCACACCCTATTACCCCTAATATACGGGCCTTAATAATTAGAATAGGGTTTTGGGGCCCATTATACTATTACTATATTAAGGAACCCCCAAAACCCTATTTTAATTATCAAGGCCCCTACATTAATCGAAACAACTTGACCTGACCAGGCATCAGCACGCCAGCAGCGTCAGGATCCTTGCGGCTTGGTTTGGGACCTGGCATTGGGATGTCCGTCGGGCCGATTTCGTCCACCACCTAGCCGAGGAAGTCTAGCGCTTTTGGGGTGTCTAGGGTGTGTGTGTGT